TAACATCCATGCCCATCTTCCTCTATTTTATATGTGGGACGCCTACCAGAGCATGGCATTTGCCAAGCGGTGCCATGTCTGCACCCGGGATCCGAACCAGCGGTCCCCGGGCCGCCAAGAAGCGGAACGTGCAAACTTAACCGCTGTGCCACCAGGCTGGCCCTGGGGCTACTTTAGATAGAAGAGATTGACACTTGAGGTAGGACCTGGGTGAGAAGGAAGCCATGGGGAAAGCTACAGGGAAGAGCGTTCCAGGGAGAGGGAAGAACATCTGCGAAGACCCTGAGGTAGAAACAATCATGGGATGTTTGCAGAACAGGATGGCCAGTGTGGCTGGGAGGCAGTGAGAGGAACATCATACTAGATGGGGCGAAAGAGGCGGGCAGGGGCAGGTGATGCACCTTGTGGGCCACAGCAAGGAGTCTGGATTATTTTTTTTAATAACAGCTTTATTTAAAGATAACTCACCTGCCATACAATTCAGCCATTTAAAGTAAGAGTTTGGATTTCATTCTAACTATACCAAGGAATCATTGAGGGAGGATTAATTTCTGATCCACTTTTTTTTTTTGGTAAGGAAGATTCACCCTGAGCTAACATCTGTTGCCAATCCTCCTCTTTTTTAGCTTGAGGAAGATTAGCCCTGAGCTAACATCTGTGCCAATCTTTCTCTATTTTGTATGTGGGACGCCTCTACAGCATGGCTGATGAGAGGAGTAGGTCCAGGCCTGGGATCCGAACCCGTGAACCCTGGGCCGCTGAAGTGGAGCACGTGGAACTTGACCCACTTGGCCATGGGGCCGGCTCCCTCTGATCCACATTTTAAAGATGGATCTGGCTGCTGTGTGGAGAATGGATTTGACAGGTATTGAGCATAAGAACAGAAGCTGGGAGACTCACTGGAGAGGTTTGTGAGGGAACCCAGATGAGAGATGATCCCAGATGGAACCACAGTGTCGACAGTGAAGACAGAGAGAAGTGGTCACATTTGAGACAGATTTGGGAGAGAGAACCAGCAGGACTGGATGATGGGTTAGATGTAGGGGTGAGAGGAAAGGAGAAAACTGGTGCTGCTTATTCAGACATATAAGGAGAGTGTGGGAGAAAACAGAGAGTCCTGTTTTGATATGTTAGGTCGGTGGCACCACAGTGGTGGCACCCTTCTGTCTGGAACACTCATTAATAGTTCAAGGGCAAACATTCACAGAGGCCTGCTGTGGGCAGGCACAGAGGATAGAGATAAAGGAAGCCCAGTCCTGACCCTACTCAGGTCACTGTCTCAGACAAGTGCAGCCAAGAAATATGTCTCAGGGTACCAAGGGCTGTAAGACAGAATCTGTTTGGATGTATCTGGCTGCAAATAAGAGACAACTCTGACACAGTCCAGCTTAAACAATAAGGATCCCCGTCGTCACACACTACAAGGAGTCCAGCCTTCTAAAATCCTCTTTGCTTTGCCCTCTTCTGAATTTCGGCTTCATCATCGACTGGGAGCAAGGTGTGCACAGTAGTTCCAGGCTTCCCATCCAGACCCAGCAACATCCAAAGTCAGAATGAGGTCCATCTCTTCGGTGTCTCCTTAAGAGTGAGAGACCCTTTCCTGGAAGGCCCCAACCCACCCGCAAGCAGATCTGCTGCCAATCATTGGCCCCAAAGGAGTCACACACCCAACCCTAAACAAGCCCTCTGGCAGGGAGAATAGGACCACCAGAAGTGTACTAGACCTGTCAGGACTTATTCCCAGAACTGGGGAAAGGGCCACCCTGAACAAAATCAGGGCCTTGCCTGCAGGAAGATGGAAAAATGGCTGTTCAGCAGGAGCTCAAAGTGTCTGTCACACAACAGAATGAACGGACTGCTGGGAGGGCGGGGGAGGGGTGGGGGTGAGGGTGGGCGGGTGACCCAAAAGGCAGTTTGATTTTTAACAGCTTTTTTTTTTTTTTTTTAAGATTGGCACCTGAGCTAACATCTGTTGCCAATCTTCTTCTTTTTCTTCTTCTTCTTCTGCTCCCCAAAGCCCCGAGTACACAGTTGTATATTCTAATTGTAGGTCCTTCTGGTTCTGCTATTTGGGACGCCACCTTAGCATGGCCTGATGAGCAGCGCTAGGTCCGCGCCCAAGATCTGAACTGGTGAAACCCTGGGCCACCAAAGTGGAGCGCGTGAGCTTAACCACTCAGCCACAGGGCTGGCCCCAGCAGTTTGATTTTAAGAGCATCTTTTTTAAGACTTCAAGATTCTGCACAGAGAATTTTTCTTTCACTGTAATCACATAAATGTTTGAAAGAGACAAAAATCTCTCTTTCTTGAAGCAAATTCACAACCTCTTAAAGCCATGATTGTTTTTGACTTCCTTTGTCCCACTCCCCACTCCCACCTTGTACGCATGCTATTTTTCTATGGTAGCCAGCCTTCCTTCTTCATTTAACACTTCTCCCAAGCATTTTCACAGGTGGTTGGCTCCCCTTGTCTCTGCAACTCTGTGCCCACTCAGTTAATATTTAGTGGCTAAGCCAAAATTCATGCTACCATATCCACATACTGGACACTTGTGTTCATTCCGCTCTTTCACTGTGATATTGGTCTTAGGCATGGCTGGACATCTGGGCAAACTTCCTGCCATCAGTCCTGCTCCCCAACATCACACTTAGAATACATCTCTCAGCCTTCTCTGATACAAGGACACTGACATATGATGATCCAGGCTTCTCCAATCAGACACATCCATGTGAGACTTTGAATTTGCCTGGCTTTGGGGGCCAGGGGAGAGAGAAGGTCATTTCCTTGATGCAAAAGTGGCTTCAGTGCCACAAGCTGTATTTGCTGCAGACAAGACTAAGTCCTGGCATTTAGTGTTTGGTGGCAGTGGCAGTAGCAGCAGTTTTCTTAACAGGTCAGATCAGTTCTATGGCTTGGGAGCTATTTCTCCAGCCCGCCCCAGAATTCTGTAAGCTGCCTAGCACCCTTACACAAATCCCTCTTCTGCTTAGACCAGCCAACGTAAATTCTGTTACCTGTCAATCAAGACTCCTGACTTTTACAGAGGATGCTGAAGTCAACAGCTCTACAAAAAATTCTCTCCCTTTGGACTCTTTTCTGAGCACTGTGTTTCTCAAATTTCACTCATTCATGTCCTCTAAATTTGCCATATATTCATACCACCCATAATATCATCTACCAAATGCCATTTTTTTAAACTGATTAATTTTTAAACACAGTATTTACTATGCTAGTCTTTTTTTTTCAAACTAATACACATTAAAATAAATACAGCACTGGGGCTGGTCCGGTGGCGTAGTGGTTAAGTTTGTGTGTTCCGCTTCAGCGGCCTGGGGTTTGCCAGTTTGGATCCCAGGCATGGATCTACACACCACTCCTCAAGCCGTGCTGTGCCAGCATCCCACATAAAATAGAGGAAGATTGGCACACATGTGAGCTCAGTGACAATCTTCCTCAAGCAAAAAGAGGAAGATGGATAGGAGATGTTAGCTCAGGGCCAATCTTCTTCACACACGCACAAAAAAACAAAACCAGCACCACTAAAACAGAAAGCATTAGTTCAAGTACCACCCCCAAAAATCTCACATGCTGGTAGTGGCCAATAGTGTCTCAGGATAAATTCCCAGGAGTGGAGTGACTGAGGTACAGAGTAGGGACAAAGAAAATCCTTTCCTTTTATACTATACTAACCCTTCCTAAGCAGAGGTGATGGCCTAGAAGTCTTAGCAAGTTCCTCATTTTATCTGAGCAGTAAAATGACAAATTATAGCACAGTGCAGTGGTTAAGGGCACACTTTTTTGGAGTTTAGCTGTGTTGGGTTCCTTAATCACCTTGATGCTCACTTTTCTCGCCTGTACAATGGGGGAAATAATGGCTTCTACCACACAGAATCACATTGGGAGCATTGAATGCGAATGAACATGAAGCATTTGCACAATGCCTGATCCATAAAAAGCTCTAGTTCTGAATTTCTCAAACTCCTCTGAGCTTAAAAAAGGTGTGTGTGTGTTATAAATAAATATAGTTTTCCTGTCTCTGCCCAGACCCTACTGAATCATAATCTCCAAGGGAGGAATTAGGAAATCTATTTGAAACAAACACCAATTTGAGTATTAGGATCTGATGAGTTTCGGAAACACTAATCAGAGTCAAGCAGCTGCTACCATCATCCCAGGGAGATGAGATGATGGATGTTAAAGTTAAAGGTCATTCATTTTGCTTGCACTCATTCATTCAGTTAGACATTTACAGAGCACTAACCGCGTGCCCCGCCCTGTGTTCGGTGCTAGGGACACAGAAGGCACAAGAAAAACTCAGGCTGCCCTTACAGGCATTCGAGGCTGGTCCCTCGCCCTCAGTGTCATCTGTAAATCTGGTGGGTAGGTGGGTCGATGATCAAGGGAATTACTTCCTGAGCTGCTGAGGGGCTACAGGGGTGGATGGCAAAGGTTTGTCTGTCCCCGCAGGCTGTGAGCCAAGAGGGCGGGTATTTGAGGGTCAGGGACTGTGGGTCTCAGGACACCATTCCTACCTCCTGTCCAGCCTATTTCCTCTCAGAGCCAGGCATCGAGATCTCCCTATGAAGTAGATACTATTTTCATCTTACAGATAAGAAAACAAACACTCAGGTAAGAGATGTGTCACAGGTGAGCCCCACTCTCGAAGCGCGCCTAAGATCGTCTTCCTCCGCCTGGCCACAGTGCCTGGTCCAACCTCCAGCGGCGGCACAAAAGCCTCCAGATCTCTCGCCAAACCTGCGCAGTGGGGTGGACTCTAGGGAATTCGGGACCAGGACGTTCCTGAGCTGTCCGAGCCAGGGCCGCCGTCTCTGCCTCCCTGAGGCCGGTACCCTCCCTCCGGACTCGGCAAAGCGCACCTACCTCCCACGCTAAGTGCAAACCTAGCCTGCCGCCCTGGGAACTACAACGCCCATGAGCCTTCGGGGCGTGGTGCATTATGGGACGCCCCACGTCGTTCTCCAGCGCCGCCAGAGAGAACTGCGTCGCCTGCCTCGGCCCGCCAGGTCCAAGTGCGTTATAGACAGCTTGTCCATCCTTCCCCGCCCGCGAGATACCAGCACCTTCCATGACGTCTCTGTCCTGTGCCCGGAAGTCGGCGGAGATGACCATGAAAACTGGTGGCTAGAGGGGCCCACACTTTCCCTCCCAGCCCTCACTTCCGCCGGAAGTGGCCTCCGGTCTCAAGTGCCCTTTCCTTGTTGCACGCGCCGGCCCCGGCTGCTTGGGGTGCGAGTACAACCACCATGGCGGCCGCCACCCTGCTGCGCGCGCCTCTCTTCAGCGGTGAGGGGGCGAGGAGGGCGATAGCAGCCTGGGGTCACGTGGGTGTCTGCGAGAGTGGCCGGGCTTGGACCCGCGTCCTGACTCCAAGCCTCTGCCCCGGCAGGTCTCGGCGCCGGCCCAACCCCGCTACTGCAGGGTCTATTGCGGCCGCTGAAGGTCCCAGCACTGTCCCACTTGTGTCGCGGCCTGGCCGTGGAGGCCAAGAAGACCTATGTGCGCGACAAGCCCCATGTGAACGTGGGTACCATCGGCCATGTGGACCACGGCAAGACCACACTGACCGCTGCCATCACTAAAAGTAAGCGGGGTTGGGGTTGGGGCGTCCAGCAGCATCTGCTTTGCTGGCGGGGTCTGGAGCCAGGGAGATGGGGCCAGCAGAGTGGCTGCTGGAGGTGCTTCGTGTGGCCACAGGAGCCAGAACTCGGGCGGGCGGTGGGTTGGAAGATGCGGGAGACAGATTTCCACTAAACTTGAAGAACTTTGTAATGCATAAATTGGGGACCCGGAATAGCCTCCTCCTAGCCCTCGCCAGTGCCTTGTGCACTGTGCAGAGGCTTTACCCTAGGGAAGTCGCACGGCTTGACCTTGAGGCCCTTTAACGTTTCTTTCCGACCCGAAGTTACCTCTGCTGGAGGAGTTGAGGGAGCTTTATTCTCCCAATTGTCCTTTGTTTAGGTGAGAAGGGCCCAGGGGTGTAGCTCGAGCCCTGCCTCTATCTCTGGAACTTTAGCTGAAAGGTGTGTTTTCTCTTCCCTCCGTTAGTTTTAGCTGAGGGAGGTGGAGCCAAGTTTAAGAAATATGAGGAGATTGACAATGCCCCGGAGGAGCGAGCCCGTGGTATCACAATCAATGCGGCACATGTGGAGTACAGCACTGCTGCCCGCCACTATGCCCACACAGACTGTCCGGGTCACGCAGATTACGTTAAGGTGAGAGAGTTGCTGGGGACATGGCCAGGAGCTGCCTTCTGTCAGGAAAAATGTTAGACTTGTGGGGAGGAGATTAAGATAATCAATTAAAGATGTATGAGTTTGGGGTCATGGATTTGTGGGCATTGCCGGTCATAGTGAATGGTAACATGGTAGCTGAGAAAAGTGGTTCCTAACTGTTGTGCTTGGCTAGATGGATGTGGAGCTGAGGTGGTTGTTGAACTAGGCTTTTCTTCTGCTCCCTCTACCAGAATATGATCACAGGCACCGCTCCCCTCGACGGCTGCATCCTGGTGGTGGCAGCCAATGATGGCCCCATGCCCCAGACCCGAGAGCACTTACTGCTGGCCAAGCAGGTATTCAGAGCCTGGGTCGGGATGGAGAGAAGAAGAGTGGGGAGTTGGGCCGCTCAAGGCAGCATCTCTGTCTCTTTCCCATCTATAGATTGGAGTAGAACATGTTGTGGTGTATGTGAATAAGGCAGATGCTGTCCAGGACTCTGAGATGGTGGAGCTAGTTGAGCTGGAGATCCGGGAACTACTCACTGAGTTTGGCTACAAAGGGGAGGAGACCCCTGTCATCGTAGGCTCTGCCCTCTGTGCCCTCGAGGTGAAGATGGGGTCAGGCGAGGGCTGCTGCTGGCAGAGGATGGGGTTGGATGGGCATCCAGAGCTCAGCTCTGAGTCTGGGGAGTGGCTCTTGGTAAGTAAGTGGAGCAGAATGGAAATTTCAGAGTCCTGTCATCTCCACCCATAGCAACGTGACCCTGAGCTAGGCGTGAAGTCTGTGCAGAAGCTGCTGGACGCTGTGGACACCTACATCCCAGTGCCTACCAGGGACCTGGAGAAGCCTTTCTTGCTGCCTGTAGAGTCAGTTTACTCTATCCCTGGTGAGGACCGTGCTCATTGGCATTCTCTCCCCCTAGCAATAGCCTTAGCCAGGGTCCCTGATGTCCTGTCCTGTTTTCTCCCAGGCCGGGGCACAGTGGTGACAGGTACACTAGAGCGTGGCATTTTGAAAAAGGGAGACGAGTGTGAGTTCCTGGGACACAGCAAGAACATTCGCACGGTGGTGACAGGTATAGGAAAGAAGCCTTGGCACCCAGGGGCTGGCTCCAGGGTCACCTCTCCCCTTGCAGATCCCTCGGGTCTTCTTGCTCCCCCAGATCTTCCTCTCTTGTCTCTTCCTCCTAGGCATTGAGATGTTCCACAAGAGCCTAGAGAGGGCAGAGGCAGGTGACAACCTTGGGGCCCTGGTCCGAGGCTTGAAGCGGGAGGACTTGAGGCGAGGCCTGGTCATGGCCAAGCCAGGTACCATCCAACCTCACCAGAAAGTGGAGGCACAGGTGAGGGCTCCAGGTGATGGTGGGCAGGGCTGAGGCAAACTGTCCCCTGCAGAGAGGCAGTGCTTCCAGCCAAGCCCAGCTCTACGCTCTTTTTCAGGTTTACATCCTCAGCAAGGAGGAAGGTGGCCGTCACAAGCCCTTTGTATCCCACTTCATGCCCGTCATGTTCTCCCTGACTTGGGACATGGCCTGTCGTGTCATTTTGCCTCCAGGGAAGGTACGGTGGGTACAGGAAAGGTGACAGAGTAGAAGGGGCACTTATGATTTTAGCTCTGCCTCACTTACGGTTCCCCAGATGTGACAGTGTGGGTGGCTTTCCCTTGGTCAGGCTGGAGAGAGGCTGGCTAATGATGTAGATGAAGCTAGTGATGGAAGGGTGTGGACCAGTGGATTTAGGGGGTGAGTCTTCCAGTATCCCTTGGGCTGAAGCAGGTTAAAGACTTAGCTATACTAGCATTTACCCACAGAAAGATTTCCCAGAAAATGAAGGTGGTTCCTGTTGGCAGTTTGACTCTATACAAGGGCTCAGAGAAGTCCTGTGACTAAGAAACCTGCATAACTCTCTATTTCCTCAATATTTTTTCTCAAGAATGTACCTTATCACTGATCACCGGTCCTTTTCCGCCTTTGCATATGCCGTTTGCGTCTGCCTCACAGCTGGGATGAGGCTATCCCCAGAAAGAATCGCCCTGTTGCATTTTCCCCTAAGTTTTAACCTCCTTGATAGTCAGCAAACTGTTGGAGTGAAGGCACCCTGAAGGCCATGTGTGTTCCCTGTCTCTGCTCCCTCCAGGAGCTTGCCATGCCTGGGGAGGATCTAAAGCTCAGCCTAATCTTGCGGCAGCCAATGATCTTAGAAAAAGGCCAGCGTTTCACCCTGCGAGATGGCAACCGGACCATCGGCACCGGTCTTGTCACTGACACGCCAACCATGACTGAGGAGGACAAGAACATCAAGTGGAGTTGAGTCTGGACCTCTGCTCAGGCTCTCTTGTGTTCAGGGCTGCACTGGTCAGTGTTCTCTCCTTCTGGTGCCCCCCCTTCCCAGGGCACAGGCTGCAACCCAGCATAGTGCAGCTAGACTGACACTTTCCCTGGTCAGAAGGGGCCACATGGCCTGCCAGGTGAGGTAGGTCAATAAACTGTTCCGTGAATAGTAAACTAGTGGGTGTGTCTGGTGTCCTTTGTGTAAGGTGGAGAGGACTGAGGAGTATAAAAAGTGGAGCTGAAGCCCAGGACAGAAGAGCTTGTGAGATATCCTGAGAGTTCATCTCTGTCTTATAGGCTGGAAAAGCTCCTGTCTTCATAAAGCTGTCAGCACTGCTGTGACACTTGAGAAAGGCAGAGAAGCCAAAGAAGAAAGCCAGTTTAGTGAGCTTTGTATAATTGCCTAGCAAAATGCTACAGTAGGATATTGCTGGACATCCTACTGGGCATTAGTGGGAAAGGATTTGGTTATCACTTGGAGTCAGCATGGGCTCAGCTCAGATGCCAAACCCACCTCATTTCCTCTCTCTTACTAGGCTGTTAATGTCTACGTACCCTTGTTTAAGCTGATAATGTGGACTGTATCTTTCTTCTGAACTAGCACATAAGAAGTACTTAATAAATAGATAATCTGTGTGCTTAATGGGTAATCACCACTGTGTCACCAATTCCAAATACAGGAGTGAGAAGTTACAGACTGAAGGTCTCATTTTCAGCATTTACTGGGATTTAAAATTAAGAAAAGGGCTGTCTTTTAAATATGCAGGGAGTGAAATGCTGAGTAGATTTTTAAAGACTTGAAATGACTGGCCAGGATGCTGACCCCAAACAAAAAAGGTAATGTTTGGCAAGGATTAATGGACACTGCTTTCACTCTTGGATCCTGACAGAGGAGTATACTCAGGACAGACAACCCACTGACAAGCAGCCCAGAGACAGGATGCTCTTGAGCCCAACCTGAGAGCTGTTTTGAGAAATTCAGAATCTGACCTGTGACTGCAGAGCAGAGGCAAACAGTAGGCTCGAGGGAAGGACGTAAGGAAGAACTTCACGGAAAAGGTCGTCCAACAACAGATTTGTTTTACCCTCCAGTGTCCAAGGTGAGGCTGAAAGGTTTCACGGGGAGATGCCTGACTGCATGAAGGCTAAACTCCCTTCCAACTTTGAGATTTCTGCAGTCCTTCCAGAAAGCATCAAAAGTAACACCTGCAATTATCTCTCTCACCGTATTAAGGACCTGTCTCTCCATTTCCACTTGAAACATCCTGAGCCTAGTTGAAAGGTTCCCTGCACCTGCCTCTTCCATCACTGCCCCCCAACCCCAATTGACGTCCCCGAAGAGAGCTCTTCCACTTGGAATCCCAAACTCACCCCTTTTTAGCTGTCAATTGGCTGCTGTAGATAATCCCTTTTCTCACCTCTTTATGTACTTCTCCCCTTCTTCCCCTAGCCCAGGCCTACCAATTACCAGGTCTCAGATTCACAGCCTAGGAATTCTTCCCCAACATCTAACCTTCACGGTTCCTGCCCTGGTCTCAGCCAATTTTCTGTGGCTTTGATCTGAAAAACCTGTACCTACCATGGAACACCAGTCGCATCCTCACAGTCCTCTAAGGGTGAAATTATCTCCATTTTATAGGTAAGGCCAGGTCACAGAATAAGAATTCCAAACTGCTGCCATGGTGGTGGGGGGGAACCCTCCTCTGAAGTTTGTTATTTCTGCATCCCATGCTTGGCTCTTTTGTCCTGTCCATAATCCCGTTTAATTCCTGCTCCCTTAACCTGGCTCCTCAACCCAGCCCTCTCCCGTCTTCTCCCACTAGTAGCTTCCTCTTCATAGCTCTCACCCAACACGTTTCAGCTGTGCACCATTCAGGCCTTTACCTTCAGTAGCCAAGAACACTAAAGCAATTTTCAGTATAGAGGTAGAGATCATTCATGAAGCGCTTATATTAGAAATGAAAACTTAGGGGCCAGCCCCATGGCCCAGTGGTTAAGTTCTCGTGCTCCACTTCGGCGGCCCAGGGTTTCACTGGTTCAGATCCTTGACGTGGACATGGCACCACTCATCAAGCCGTGCTGAGGCAGCGTCCCACATGCCACAACTAGGAGGCACAACTGAAAAAATATATATACAACTATGTACGGGGGAGATTTGGGGAGAAAAAGCAGGGGGGAAAAAACACTTAATATCACACCTCAAGATGAGGCCAATTTTGAGGTGAGAAAACAGTGCCTGGGAGGTTGGGTGACTTGTGCAGCAGTCAGAGCCAGAAGGGCAGCACCTGTGGACCGTGCTGCCACCCTGCCCCATCTTGGGAACCACACAAGACTGCCAGCTAAGATCTTACTCTATTCTCCAAAGAAGAAATTACAGGCAGGTTAAGTTAGTTTAAAATTTTATTTTTTTAATTTTTTTTTTAAATATTTTTATGTAATAAAAAGTAAAAGTCCTTGTCCAACCATCCTTGTGGGGCATCTGTCTGTCTCTCAGGCAGGTCACTCAAGTTAATGGGGAAGAAAGAACAGGGGGCCCAAGTCTGAGGTTATAAATAATAGAAAATAAAAGATCTTCTGTCTCCAGTGGGGAATAGATGAGGATGGGAGGGCAAGATAGGGTGTGGATGGGCAGGGCCAGAGCAGGAATCCCCCCACCCCCACTGGACCCTGGCCCTGCCCACTTTGAGGCCCCTCCCATTCAAGGTGCTTGGCAGGAATTCCCCAGCTCCCCTGGGGAAAAGGGGCGGTGGGGGGCTGGGACTGGTCCGAGCTGCTGGGGGAAGAGACATAGATCACTCTTCCCTCCACTCATGGAGGTCTCAGGTCGCGGCCAGGACAATCTTCAGTTCCCCGGGGGGTGGAAGGGGAGCTGCTGGGAGGGATGAGATTGAACTGGTTGGAGGGGAAAGAGAAGAGAGCAGGAGCATTAGAACCCAAGCAGCTGTCCCTTCCTCCAATGCCATCCAGCGTGGGGTGTGGGGGAGTGTCTGGGTGGAGCGGCTTCCTCAAGGTGTCTCATGGGGCTGTCAGAGCACAGATCAATCGCTGTTTCCCAGTGAGCCAGAGCCCTTACTCGTGTGCCCAGCTCAGCCCCCCACACCCCAGCCTGGCCCTGTCTGCTGCGCTGACCTTACCTCGGCTAAGTCAGGAGACAGTCGGGGTCACTGAGAGCTGGGGAGGCAGTGGGGAGGGGGGCTGCTGGATCACAACTGAGCGAGGACGGAGGGAAGCAAAGGACAGAGCCAGGAGCAAGCCCCTGGCGGCGGCGACTGTGGCTTCTGCCCACCCTACATACTTCACAGACAGGTGCAGGTCGGCGGGCGCCCTGTGGGACAGCCCTGCCTCCAAGACCCCTCACTCCCCACCCAGAACCCGTGCATCCTGCCCCACCTGCAGCCCATCAGCTCTTCCATGCCAAATTCCCCCAGCTAACGAGAACTCACGAATCCTGTCATCGGCTCCTCCTGGAAATCCAGGCGCCTGGCCAGGCTGCTCACCTTGGGGGTGTCCGATGTAGGGGTAGGGTGAGGGTGTGGAAGCTGAGAGTGCAGGCACCCCACTCTGGGGCACCGCGCCTTGGGGGGGGCCCCCATGGCTCTGGGGTGGGTGCAGCAGCATCACCTGGGGCGGGTGGGGAGCCCCAGGGTGAGGGGGCGGGGCTGCTGTGATTCCAGTTTGGACATGGGCCTGCAGAGAACAGAAAGCAGCTGGGAGCATCACAGAAGCCTCACAAGGGCTCTGAGTATCCTAACATCAGGAGCACTAAGTAAGGGTGGCACCAGGAATTCAGGAAAGAGGAAGTAGGTCCCTTGGGTTCTTACCTGGGTAACGTGGGCCATGTTGGTGAAGCCGTGGGGCAGCTGCTGGTGGGGATGGATGGCATACACAGCGGCTGGTTGGGGGAAGCTGCTCTGAGGGGACTGGGCAGAAGGCCCCGGTGGCAGAGAAGGCGGTGTGCCTGTCAGGGCCCCTGGGTGGTACAGATTCTGCTGTGGCTGTCCACTGCCCAGGTGTGGGGCCTGCCCCGCCTGGTGCTGTTAGGGGGAGGGGAAGGGTGAGTACCACCCACTTCTCCAGTACCCAGGCCTACCGCCTGCTGATTGACCCCTGATCCTCCCCACTAGGAAATGACCCCGAGCTCTATCCCTCTCTTCCAGCAACCCGTTCCTGCCCCAACCACTCGGATCCCACATAGCAGGCACCTGGACGGGACTGGGGGCCGCATGCTGGGACTGCGGCTGGCTCCCAGTAGGTGTGGTGGCCGGCTGCGGCTGGTGGGCATGGAGCTGCGTGGCATGGTGTGGATAGGACTGGTGAACAGTGGCTACAGCAGGAAAGAGGGAGAATCAACGCTGAGCACACCAAAGGGGGCTGAGGAGCACAGCCTGAAGGGGAGGCCTGAAGAGAACTCACCATAAAGGGCTTGGGGAGTGGGCTGCTCTGCAGAAGGGTACTGAGGGGTGGAGGACGACACAATGGCCTGGGGATGACTCCCTGACGTCAGCATGCGTGGGCTGCCTTGAAGCATGGGGGCAAACACCGGCTGGAGGAGCAAGGAGAGGAGCCGTTGACATAGCAGAGGACTTGAGAGGCATTCCCTGCTGCCCAATAACCTTTGCACAGCACTACTCTGGCCTTGTCATACTTACCTTGTTTAACATTCACAATAATCCTACCAAGTACATGCTGTTTTAAACAATCTACACTTCACAGAAAGAGAAAAAAAACCACTAAGGCTCAGGTGTTCAGTACCTTGCTACAGCCCTAGCAGAGCCAGGACTGACACAACCAGCCCAGGACACTGCCTGCCTCTCACCCAGCTCGAGTCTAGGAGGTGGAAAAGATGGGGTCCCTAGCAGGGGCTCAGTACCCCGACTTCCCTCCTGTGCCTCAGTCACCTGTGAAGGATAGTGGGCCATGGGCTGCATCATGGCGGGCTGGCCTGGGAACTGCTGTGGGTTGTATGGGATGTAGGAAGAGTAAGGTGTGGCAGCCACCAGAGGTGGGCCAGCAGCGGCAGCGGCCTGCATCATCGGAGGGGCTGAAGCTGGCTGGTGTTGGTCCGAGCGCTGTGGGGGCAGGGAGCCTGGGGGTGGGGAAAAATAGCACCGAGCTCAAGCTCCATCTGCCAGAAGTAGCTGGGCAGCCCTAGTGACTGAGCCTCCCAACCCTGCTCACCTTTTGCTCCCCGGTACTTGCCCTGCTGTCCAGGCACTGAGTTGGATACAGGATATGGATACATCTGAGGTGCCTAAGGACAAGAACACGGTTGACGCTGAATGACCTGTTTATAAATGCCTAGAACAGGCCTGACTTGGCCCCTTGGCGAGCCCAACCAAACCTCTTACCCTGGGCCCATTCAGTCTCCTCTCTTACCTGAACAGCTGGTCCCATGTGGATCGGAGGTATGTAGGAAATGTACTGGGGGCTATAGAGCCCACTCTGGCCTGCTGTCAGCACCGGGATGGAGGGAGTTGAATGAGTCCGGGGCCCTGGAGAAGTTGGGGTACTGGTGGATTTATTCTGTAAGAGACAAAGGAGGACAGGTATAAAATATTTTATGATTTTTGTATCCCCGCTCCCACACCTACTAAACAGCAACAGCATTCATGAAATGCATGTGAAATGAAACATTCTATGCTT